ATCCGTCAAATCCGTCATGGCTCGTCAACTGCTGTTTTTCAAAATGACATGTTTTGGGTGTCAAATAGTCATCTGCCGACTCCACTTCTGACATGTCACGGGCTGCGTTTGCTTGCGTGTTTAAATTGTGCATTTAATAACACAAATTATGTTAGCAGCGATTAGCGCGGCGAGATCTTGTCAGCTGCAAGCACCATGCAAGTAAAATATCGTTGCGGTTTTCCGCGCCCGTGTTGGCAATTGCCGTTATAATTGAGTGTGCCGAACTTGCCTGTACTTGGACTTTCAAATATTGCATAAATATTCGATTTTCAAGTTCGCTCATGTAGAAATAGTGTTTACATCTGTCTCTTGTCGGCGCGTACGTCAGTTTCAAAGGTCGCGTTCGAAAGTTTGTTTGCAACAAATAGAAAAAGGGTAAATGTGCCTGCCATTAGTGTCGCAATATCGACTTGTTCACGCATGCACAGATCGACTCTTTAATGTTATAAAATCAATCACAATACCGTATCGTTTTAAGAAACTTAGGACCAGAGAAACATATTGTTTCGAACTTAGAGTAGAATGTTGTGTGATTAACATAAACATAGGCGTATATTGTGATATATTTTATTGCACGTGACCGGCTCTCCTCCAATCAGCTTAGTACACTAGTAAATGGGTGGTTACAATACTGGTCGAATATATCAATATAACAAAGGTGTTTGTTTACATCATGAGCCCTTATTATACATCACGTCACTTATATTTTATGACAAGATAGAAAGGCTGGTGACATTTTTATTTCGAAGCCCAGCTTGGGCTGAGTGACAATTTTAACTCTTTAATTAAAAAGCAAAACACGTTAAAACTACCATATAATGCGTATAGTATGTAGTTTGAAATCGAATCAGCGTTATTGTATCTTATTGTTATTCAATTATTCTTCGACAAATCCATACGTAGTCCACTCGGGACTACGTATAGAACAACGACGCCATGGCTCATATTACCCATATTACCCATATTGCATCATGTGAGCCTGTGCTAGGAAAAATACTAGCGTGGGCGGAAAGCCCTTGTACATTACAGTACATTATAATATTATTAGTATTGAGAGTAGTACTATATAAGTCGTTCACAGTGTAGAGTGAAGACAGAGATGAAATCATTTGTTTTCGACAGTGTTGAGGTTAGTGGTTTTTCCATTCAATTTATATTCACTGTACATGCACGATAAATTCATTACAACGTAAATGCGAACATAGTGTAGAAAAACAAACCATAACGACATTCCGAATTTCACAACACGAGAATGACCGGGACCGTAGACGACCCCAATATCTACGTCATTGTTTTATGACACGTAGACATGCATTGATAGTATGCTTTCATCGAGCACTGTTCGGATTTTTTTTAAACGGACAATACAATGTTTATAAAACAACGAACATAGGCTGTACCATGAAAAGATTAAGCATATGTAGTCATCTACTGTGCGCTTTGGTTCGAATGATTCAACACTGATTTGTTGGACACGTTTATGTCTCTTTAATACAGTAAAATGGATTGATATTTGATTATACGACATTACCACTAGTGTGAGTATGTGAGTCTATGTCAGCGACTAGCCCCGGTGGGATGCATATACGATTGTCGTAGTTTGGTGCTTACAACTACCGGTTCTATTCTATTCTTAATAAATGCTCAATGTGGCCCTGAACCCTGTTTTTAATGTTGCTAGCATGAACATAAGCAACACTTTATTAAAGTTTGTTTGACATTTCTCAGAAGATCGCAGGTAAAAGCCCCGCGATTGCATGACTTGTTCGCCTAATAACTTTTCTTTATTGTAAATACGTGGTTCAATCTATTTTATTAGGATGTGTGTAAAATAATAATGGCTTTGTATCCCATTAAATCGTTGGGCTCATTGCACTGCCGAATGCACTCATAGTCAGAGGATAACAAACACCGTGATAGTATAACATTTATACATTTTAACCAACCAACCAACCAACCAAACAGGGAATGTAATAATTTCGTGTACGAAGAATGTTTTTAACCCCCCCCCCAATGCTGTTCATACAAACATTGCGATTTTTGTATATGTTTGTGCACAATAAATGTCTAGATAAATATTACGCTAGACATAGTATTGACGACACTGAATACAAAGAACTATAAATCAGTGACCATCAACATAAACAGCATTGCATTCTATCTTCCTTTCAAGTTAACCGCAGTGTCAATGTATTGTTTACAGTATGCTCTCAATACACGCGCCTATATAGATGCTGATGAATCTAATGGGAAATCATCTACGCATGCCTCACAGCATTTACATTTGTACATTATAGTAATAACTGATCGGTGAAAAGCTGTATGCTAAATGTCCACGTGAGATCTTTTCATTTCCGCGAGTTTGACGCGATATCCGTGTAAACAGATTTTTAATAATTTACTCGCACTCTACTTTTGGAAATTGCTCATTACTCATCGAGTGGAACGTTACTCAGCAAGTAGTTTAATAAAATGAGAAACAAGCATATTTAAGCCTAATATTTTCTAAAGCGTATAAGATTTCTCCCCAAGACCACATCATCACTTGTGTGAATATGTGCACTACTAACATTCTGGAAGTCACGTCGCGAACGAAAATTGAGGCAGAAACACGAAAGATTCCAACTGATCCTAATGATAGTCAAATTTCAATTGCTGTGTTAATTTAGTTTTCCCGTCACCAGTATGCATTCAAACCTGGTGACCTGTCAATATTTAAATCATTTCCCCATTCGTCACCACATAATACTTTACATTTGGCATAATACATTACGCAATACATTTCTCGGGCAATTACATGATACATTACTCGGACAATATATCTTTCATCAAGTTCATGTTGAAGCCGATGAGGAGTTATCATAATCAATCAAATGCATAACATTATATTAAACTGTGACTGCCAGAATTCTGTTGCAATACCGTCTAAGTTTGAAAAATACAAGACGAATTTGTTTTTAGAATTATATGCTAACTAAAGATGATTCATATGATGACCTAAATTGTTATTAGGCGGTATTTTGAGTTAGTGAAAATGAATCACGTGGTTAATAATATTGTTATCCAGTTTGAAATTCTAATATTGCAGTGATAACACAGTACCGCAGCACGCTTTGTTTTTCCTTCGCATACTTCTTACGAGCTTGATGTTTGTCTAACTAGAATATCGTGACGCTTACCATACCACATCAGCAGTTACATTTCACGCTGTATGTCACATCTGTGATTGATGTGCACGATGGCCATGTGATAAAACTTAAAGTCGTGTTTGTTACTGTGCTCTTCGTGTGAAACTGCAATCTGAAGCAAACAAAAAATAAAAACCGTAAAGCCATGTGGTTCCAATAAGAGTACGTAATTACCAACCGATGCACAATTCAATCGTGTTTGAACTACGTAATATGTTCTTCAAGGAGATTGCAATGCTTTATAATTGTGAATAGTCGTATAATGTGAGCTACCAATCGATCGCATAAAGTGATTATGAGAATTTTATTTTTTACGACAATCGTATTTTGATAGAAGAGCGCTGCCTAGTATAATATCCCATATTTGTAGCTCTGATGGCAATTAATATATATGTCCCTAGATATTAGCTCTGATAGATAGATAATCTTCTTTTTGGAGTTCTGATGACACAAGCATTGATAGACAGATGTTTCAATTTATTGGGCCTTGTTTATAGCTTTTTACGACAATACCATGGCAATACAATTGAATAGATATACGCTGTCCCATGACAATACTATTGATAAACAGACTTCAGACTGGTATGAAGTGATCAGATTTACTTCTAGGTGACATAGCATATAAGAATACAAATAATCGATCTGGTGACAAATTCGTAGATTTTGCAAAAGTTCCCGTATCTATATGACACGATTTTATGTGATTGAGACTAGTCAAGTTTGGTATATACTCAAATATACTATTTAAATGTAATCTGGCGAGTACGTTCAACTTGATATTATTTTCTTTATACACTAGAAAAAAAGGAAAATAACATAACAATAACATTATTTACACCGCAATACCACAGCAACAATGTATACTTGACATACATGACAATTATTCGGGACAGTCAAAACGAATAAGAAAATCATGAATATATATAGTCTAAAGAAACAGGGTATGTTACTGTCTATGTTACCATGCTTACCATTCGACAGAGGCTATATATTAGCTCAATTTGTGTTGTATTTATTCCAAGCAAAGAACCATGATGAATACATTGTAATGCGTATAAGCGAATATTAGAAGATAATTATCCATTTACTTATTCGAACACGATTCAGGAATACATTTTACCTCAGCATAATTCCACTGAATTTAACAAACATATAAGACATGTACAATAAACACTACTGTAACATGTGAATGGACAAATAATTGGACAACTTGTATATTACAAATTAGACGAAATTGCCAATAATTGCTATGGAAAAATAATGTTTGTACATGTACATAGCATTGTAAATTTAAATTTGAAAATTAAAAACAAGTCAGTTTAATTAAAAATGAAAGTGGTGGGTTGGACGGTTAGCTGCATAATTTAACACAAGAATGCACCAATATTTATTAAGATACGTCATAACATTACGTAGGTGACATTAACGATATATAAAACGAATTCTAAGCTAATATTATAAATCCCATTACGATCCAACTAACACCCATTCATCACACCATGTTTGAGTGTATGTTTATCAGTTACGGAAATACATTAAATCAATTTTGTTTACATTTTATTTCAGGTCGTATTCAACTGGTGCCTAGTCACGTAGTTTACACGGCGCCCGCATTGCATATCAATCAACGAATCTCACGAATATACGATATAGTTCCAGAGCCATATTTCACAGAAAGACGGTATCGATTGATGTGATTCGAAACTTAGTGTGTATGTTTGGCTGCTAACCACTAAATCTGCGTTGCCGGGCTTTATATATTACGCCACAATGTATGTTTTTTTCTATGGAAACGAAACGAACGAACACAATATAGCGTTTAATAGAACAGCTTCTGTGGTAGCATACGATGTCTTTCCTGTAATACCTTCGTGGTTTTTCTTCCACCTCATCCCAGTGTTGGCCAGCCTTATGTGTCTCATCGGACTACTAGGAAATGGAGTCGTTATATTTATCATGCTCAAGTACCCTAAAATGACTAGCGTACCAAACACATACATTTTGAATTTGGCTGCAGCAGACTTCCTGTTTTTCCTTGGCGTTCCTTTTCTCACCTACTTCAACACGGCGAGACGATGGACTTTCGGCAATTTTATGTGCAAGCTAGTTATGGGCATCGATGGCATGAACATGTTCACGGGGATATTCACCTTAGCTGCCATGGCTGTTGACCGATATTTCGCTATTGTTCGTGCTACCTTCTCTACGAAATTCCGCAGTGTGTTTGTGGCACGATTTATATGCGCTGTACTGTGGCTGCTAGCCGTTTTGGTCACATTGCCCTTATGGACTTACGCATCTATCGAAAAGTACGACAATATCACGGTCTGTAGCATTACATGTTCACAGCGAGTAGAGCATATTTTTGTAATATATTCATTTTTAACCGGCTTTGTTATTCCTTTAGCTGTTATTATTGTTTGTTATTTGTCGATTTTGTGCTTTTTAGCCAGGCAATCCAGAAAATTTCGCAGACAAGTGTCACATTTCGGTCGAGTTTCTGCAATGGTGTTAACGACTGTCGTATTTTTCTTTGTTTGCTGGCTACCGTTCTGGGTTACACGAGTTATAGTGTTCGTTTCCCCCAGCACACATACTTTAGCATTACAGGTAGTCTACTATCTTACTCCAGTTATGAGTTACATAAACAGTTGCTTCAATCCTGTCATCTACACGTGGTTTAAAGACGATTTTCGTGACCATCTGAAACGATGTATGTGTACCAGTTCGCATAAATACAAGACAAAGACACGGAGTAAAATAAAGGATTCATCCATAAGTATGCGTCAAGTACAAGTTCAGAATCCTTCGAGAAAAAAGTTTTTGTACACACAGACAACGAGCAATTTCACTATTAATTCTGATACAACGTGAAGTCACATAAACAGATAATCACTTGCCAAAAATGCCTAAACCATTGGTAAACTCTCTTATATATGTATGTGATAATATATTCATAATAGGTATAACGAGTGTATTTTTCTTTGTTTTCTGGCTATTCTTCCTGGTTCATTTTATCTTTACCAGCCACATTTCTGTTTTGAAGGCAGCCTCGCATCTGACAACTGTAACGAGTTTTTATATATAGTTCTATTTCTTTATCTAAAAGTAGTAAGTGTGCTTATACGAGACAAGGACACGGAATAAAATGAAGGATTCGTCGATGCGTATGCGTGATTTATATGATATGATGGCTATTGATATATAACTCATGTATTTAATATATATATATACTATTTTGAAATACAGAATACAGGATTAAATCTTTATCTTTTGAATGTTATTAATTAGGTTGAGTTCTTTATATTATATTATATTATATTATATTATATTATATTATATTATATTATATTATATTATATTATATTATATTATATTATATTATATTATATTATTTTTATGTTATACTTGTATCTTATTTAATGACTAGTGCATTGATGACCAAGTGACTGTTATTCCCAAGTGACCGTTACCTAAGTAGTTCATTATTGCGAATGCACTTTGATTGAATTATATACCGCTAGAGAGTACTGCGCTTTCCTGACTACGCTTAATTTGAAATTGCATTCAATTCCTACATATTATGTAACGTGGGCTGCCTACAATTGAAAACACCGCGTTCTCAATGGTCGAGCATTGCCATCATAAGATAACTGAGGTCAATACGTGAACATATGAAAAAGATTGGGTGTGTGTGTGTGTG